GCCTGGCACCCAGTAGGCCCTCTCTACATCCTCTGGTTTCCTCCGCACGCTCCTTGATTCTCTCTGAAACTCATTCCTCTCTGTGTCTGCAGAGTGGAACCCTGCCTCTCCTGGGAGCTGCCTGGCGGGCTCCTCCAGCAGAAACACACAGGCCTGCCTGGGCTGTCGGCGGGGGGAGGGGGGTCCCCGACATGTGCTTGGGCACGTGTGCGGGGAGGGGATGGAGGGCTGGGTGAGGTTAGAAGATGCTGAGCATGCTTTTGTGCCTCAAAAAAGCCATTAGTAGCCTCGCGGTGGGAAGGGAACTCCCCACCCAGGCAATATTTTCACGTACAGAAATTTATCACCTACCAGGACACGGACAAGAAATAGCAGAGGAGGAAACATCTTTCCAGGTAACCCAAATCAACATAAAGAAAAGAAGTACAAACATTTTTCATATCATAGATCTTCTCGTGCCTTCTCTTGCAGCCTTATAACTCTTACTTGAGGGGGAATCGTAAACATATTGATGTTCTGTGTCCTAAGCAGACAAGAACGAGGGGTGAGGACATGACGAGGGGCAGCGGCGTCACCAGGAGTCGCTCTAGTGGAAGTGGAGGGGGTCGTGGAGAGGACAGTGCGGTTTTGGTGTTCAAGGGGTGTGGGTTCCCAGTGATCTGGACGCTCTGTGGTTATTCAAAGTACATTCCTTACCAAGGCTCTGGATCACTGAGGTTTCGGGCCCTAAGGCTGTCCCTGCGAACGCCCCCTGGAGGGGACCCCTCCCACCCCGTGCATTTCTCAGCTTCCACCTAGGGCAGTGATGGCGAACCTATGACACGCGTGTCAGAGGTGACACGTGAACTCATTTTTTTGGTTGATTTTTCTTTGTTAAATGGCATTTAAATATATAAAATAAATATCAAAAATGTAAATCTTTGTTTTACTATGGTTGCAAATATCAAAAAATTTCTATATGTGACACGGCACCAAAGTTAAGTTAGGGTTTTTCAAAATGCTGACACGCCGAGCTCAAAAGGTTCGCCATCACTGATCTAGGGCCCTGCCTCATGCTCCCACCCTCCCCGTCCAATGCTCGGTCCCCAGGCTGCATGGAAGACTGTCAGCGAGGGGGCCTCATCAGACCCTGGGCCCCCAGGAACACGGCTTCCAATCCCTCCAGGTGAGCGGGCTGAAAATGGAGGAAAGGAGAGCCTCCTGGCCCGGCGCAGGTCTCAGTCTATGAAATTCTTCTCCCTGAGTCCCCTAAGTAGGCGTGCTTCCAGGAGACTTGCTGTGGGAAGATCTGCAGAGCTTGCCTCACACTCTGCTCGGGGAACCCTCACTGAGCACCTGCCTGCCCCTGGCAGCTTCGTTCTCCTTCTGGCTCCTTGTGTCCCCTCCTTTGGCCCTTCCCTTATAGCCAGCATTTCCTCAATCATGTTGTTCGTGGTCCTCTCTTGGGGCAGAAGAAATGACCAGCATCTCTTACTGGCAGCCACCCTGTGAGCTGGCCCCGTCCCTGCCCTGGAGACGCCTGGGTGGGACATTACCTGTCACTGTGCTCTGTGGCTCTTGGCCCCCGGAAGACCCTGTCGAGAAGGATGGTCTCTGTTCTCCCGACCCAGACCTCGAGGTGCCCACAGAATCGGGCTGGGACGGAACCCCATAGAGAGGACCCAGAACCTGCTTTCAGCGCAGAGGTCCAGCCGGGCCAGCCTTTATTGTCACCCTGGTTTTTAAGAACATCCCCAAGGACACCCACATCACGTCCAGGGGTCTGCTCTGCTGGGTCTCAAGCCCTCTCCTCCTGACTTCCACCCGGTAGCTCACAACCCCACACAAGTCTTGCAGGATAGGTCCCTCCCTCTTTTTGCAAAGAATGAGGCTCAGTGGTGGGCAGCTCCGGTGGGAGTGGAGGTGGAGGGACTGGTCCCCATCCCATCTTCCCCATACTCCTGTCTGGGCCCCTTGCCTGGTCCTCTCTGGGCTCAGCGGGACCTGAAGCTCAGTTCCCATGGAGACAGAGCCAGCTGGAGGAGGCGTGAATATCCCCAGTGGGAGACCCGGAGCTGGGCCTGCAGAGAGTACTACCATCCTTGGGGTCTCAGAGTCCCAGCCCTGCCCGCCCGCCTCCCACGTCCCGTTCTTCCCACCACAGCCAGAGCTCCCTGTCTGACGACCCCCACTCTCCCCTTTTCTCTCTGCTTCCACCATCTCCCATTCCCCATGGAGCTCTTCGGAGCGTCTCCTTACTGGTTTCCCATTGAAGAGCCATTTACTGAAAACACAGTGAAAATGCTAAGTGCTGTGGGACCCAGGAGTAGGGGTGCTGGGATCCTGGCCTCCGAGAAGCTTTAACTTGGGTTTAGAGACACGATCTGGGGGAGGAGACTTGGGAGGCCACCCACTGAAGGAGGGGGTGTCGCAGGGGGTAGGTGCTGGGGTGTTTGCACAGGAAAGTGAGGGGGACGGGACTCAGGGAGTGGTGATGGGGGGCTTCCTGGAGGAGGTGTGATCTGAGAGTTGAAGAGGATGGAGCCGGTGGAGAGGCAGGAAGCAGCATAGTCAAAGGGGTGGGAATGATGGGGCAGAAGAGTCTGGCTGGAGACACACGTGGGGAGGAGAGAGGGGTAGCTGGGGGGAGCTGGGGCAGAACCTGCCAGCCCCTGAGCTTGCGTCTCCCAGCCTGGGGGCTGCAGAGGGTCCTGAGCTGGGGTGGGGTGGGTGGAGGGAAGAAAAGGATGCGCTGGGGATAGCTTCCTTGTCCTGCATGAGACACTTGGTTCAAAAGGGACAGGGAGCCACACCGACTGTGTCTGCAGGACTTTGGTTTGGGAGCCCACCAGGGACATGGTGCGGGCTGTTTCCATCCCCACCCCCCGCGCAAGGAACAGGGAAAAATGTAAATCAAATCAGAGAGAATTTTTTTTTCTTTTTTCCTTAAGAGAGAGAAAGAGAGGAGAGCACAAGTGACATTTGGAGCCATAATTCCTTAAAGTCAATATCATTACCTCTGATATTTACTGTCAGCTCCGAGGCGCCAGCGAGTGGGAAAGTTCATCCATCTCACCCTACGCCAACTGTGCGTCGCCAGGAGCCTCCCCTCCCTCCCCTTCCTCCCCTTTGCGCAATTTCAGTTAATTGTTGGGTTGTGTTAACACCCCCCCACGCCTAGCCAGTCTCCCAGCAGGGTCAGGGAGGGTGGGCTTGTGAAGAGGCGGCCAATGGGGTACACTGGGAGCCCGGGGACATGGGCTGGGGGTGCAGAAGGGAGGCGGCCCTGGGATCCTCAGAGCCAGGCTCACGCCCCATGTTAACGCAGCCTGTGGGTCGGCTGGGTCTCAGCGATCTCATCTGTGACCTGGTGTGTGACAGTAGACATGTCCCAGGATAGAGGTATCTCTTCATTTATTCATCCATTAGGTGAGCACTCAACCTTC